CCGCATGCTATTCCCGCCGGCCCCTCCCACCCCGCCCCCTTTGGCCGGAGATCCCGGGCAGCGGGCGGGCTCACCCGTCCGCCGCCGCCGCCTGCGGGATGGGGCGCGGGCTCCGCCGCCGGCCCCGCCTTCCTGCGCGCTCTTCCCCGAGGGATGGTGAGGAACCAGGCAGCAGGCCGGGCATCGGCCCCCGGCCTTGCGGGGCTGCGGGCAGGGCGCAGGCGCAGCCTCGATCCCGCTCGCTCGCCGGCTGCCCGGCTCTCCAGGGCGCGGGGCTCGGCGCGGCCGGCGGGGAGGGCTGCGGGGCGCCCCGTTTTCCTCGTGCTCGCTGCAGCGTTATGCTTGCGCTGCGGGACTGGGGCGGGAGCCGGGCGCCCCCGAGGGCCCCCCGCGGCCGCGCTCCCCGGCCGCTGCTCGCCAGCTCGCCCCTGCCTCGGCCGGCCGAGCTGCGAGTTCGCTCCGTGGCCTCTGAGCCCCCCTCCCGCGTGGAAGCCGCGCGGCTCCCGGGCGCCCCCTCCCCGGCTTGTGGAAGGCCGCGCGGTCGGGTGGGCGACCCTCCGCAGCAAGCCCCGCCGATTCCCGTGGCATTGCGGGGCGCCTGCGGTGCTTGCCGCCCTGTCCGGTTCAGACCCGCAGCTCTGCGCCCTCCCGCCCGCCGGGAGACCTGCTCCTGCCTCAGCCCCGCGCCCACGGCGCTGCTCGGTCCGCCAGAGACGCGGCGGTGAGCTCGAAGCGAAGGTGGGATGGGAGGAGCTGCGGAAAAGCTGCGGGCATCCAGAGGGGCTGAACAGTGCTGCCTCTGGTGAAACCCTCTGCAAAAACCCGGGCAAACAGAAAGGCTCCACCTGGCAGAAAGGAAGGCAGCGCAAGGCAGGGTGCCACAACCGCGAAGGCCCTGCCTTTCCTCCCTGCAGGGCGTTGGGGTGCAGGGACTGCGTGGGACGCTGATCTTTCTGTCTCACGAGCTGGGGCAGGTGAGCAGCTGTCTTTAGACCAGGTGCCTCCCTGATGGACAGCAGCCACATCGTCCGCTCCCAACAGTCTTACGGGCTGGAGGCACCCAGTCAGGTAGTATGGCTTCAAACCCTTCTGCCCTGCCCTGAAAATAAAACCAACCTGATAACAAACCTCTAAATCTGAAACAATCTATTTAAAAAACAACAACCTGTAATTAAAGCAATTCAACCAGTCGTGAGAGAAGCCCTGCATGAAAGCCAAGGCAGCAGTAAAACGATGCAGGAAGGATGATAGTGCAGTGCCAAAAGGCAGGTAAGGTCCCTGCCCCGCCGAGGATACAGTGTTCAGTTTGACAATGCGCAGCAGAGCGAGTCAGGAAAGAGGGGAGTAGGGGCAAAATACGGGCAAAGTTGGGTAAGTCTGAGCATACGTCGTTTTAGTGACAGCAGGGAAATGCCAAATGTGGCATTGATAAAAGTTTTCAGAAAGGAGCAGATTGCTGAAGATAGGCCTGGCTTAAATAAACCGTGCTCACACATTGTTTGTTGACCTTACTGAGAGTTGTTTAGCAGACAGTCAAACAAACTGTAGTTTGTTTTCATGCTGCCGGAAATGTTGTTTCTTTCCCTCGTCCTTCGCTTCCCCGCTCCCTGTATCCCAACTGCCTTTCAGCGCCGCTGTAGTCGCAAGTACTGGCAAGTCAGGGTTTTTTTGTTTAGCGCTCTTTCCTGCCAAAGCTGTAGCCTGGCAAAACAACCCACGAACAGCCCACAGTTCTGGATTCACATGTCATGACCACCCGCTGTTTAAACAACCACTGATTAGAGTCCAACCCCGACCCTCCTTTTTTTCTTAGGGGTTGTTTGTTGGCCCTGGGCTCATGCGTATTAGTGACAGAGGAGAAAGAAATCAGAGCGAGGTGACAGTGGATTTCAAGGTTTCTAGATGGCTCCTTTAGCAGCCGTGCCATTTTTGCTTTGCAGCCATACTGCCCCAGTCCCAGACTGGGTGTGTATGAAGCTGTAGGCTTCTCTGTCCCCCGTTACCCTTTCCTCCTCCAATGCTGGCAACTGCCAATTTCTGAGATCTCAGAAAGGCATATAAATGTAGACGGCAGTGCCAAATCTATTTGAATTTTAATTAATTGAAATATCCTGGTTGGTTGACAGCTATGAAAGTTATCTCTGTACTTTTATTTCTTCTTCTTTCCTTCTTAACGCTTAGTAATGATGATAATATTGTTTCGGGTTTCAAAATAGCCACCTGTTTGTGCAACAAGGACCATTTTAAAAGCAAAAACACTGTGCTCATTTGCAGGTGCAAGTAAATAAATTGCTGGAAGTGCTCATGAAAAGGGTCCTGATTGAAGGCTCTCCAACCAGCTTTGCCAAGAAACAAAATGAAAATAAAAAGCCATGATCATCTAGTGATCTCACCCAGTAGTCAAAGATCTCTGGGCAGCCCACAAAATAACCCTTAAAACTATAAAATGCAATAGCATAGTAAGCATAACATAAAAACCATACCAAAACAGAAGAAACCCCAAATAAACCTGAGATAAATGTCAGCAGCAGTGCAAAGATTCAAAAATGCAGAGACAGAAGTTGTAAGACTGTGGATAGAAACGCCTGGGGAAATAAAAGGATCCTCATTGAAGGCTCAGAGCACTGGTACCAGGAGAACATTCCATAATGGCAACATTCGGCAGCAATTTGCACGGTCGCTAACAAACCCACACAGCGCCGAGATGTATACTGCACACAAGCCATTTTCTGCAACAACCGAACAATGTAGCATTCAGCAGCTGCTTCTGTGACATCTGTACCCGAGCACTTGGGTTGGTTTGCGGGTAAAACAGCCCCTAGATAACCCAGAGTAAAACCACAAACCCCTGAATTGCAACAAATGCTGCTATTTCATCTGAACTGGGCCGCTAAGAGGAGCACCAGCTTTTTATCAGCTATTATATCCGAGGTGTTCTTAAGGGAATGTTTAAACTCTAAAGAAATGAGGGTCCATAAAGTGTAGAAGTGATGTAGGAAGAGCTTACAAAAATAGACTGTTAGGCATTCATATTGAGATAGACAAATACCATCTTAGGGTGGCGTGCCAAAATGATTGGTTGTATGTTCTGGGCAGACAAAACCATCTGAATTTATGGGGTTTGCTGCTGGAAGACATGGCGAAGACCAGCTGGGAGAACTTGGTGAAGACTGTGGGAATGCACGGGAAATGGATATGGCGCTGGCTGAAGGGCGGGGGGGAACGGTCAGAGGGTTTTTCAGGAGGTGCATGGAAGAGGCCTGAGCCCTGGAAATGCAGATGAGGCAGAATCTGGAAGTGGCATTTCGGTTACCTTTCTCCATCTGTCCACCCAGACCAAAATCAGCTCTGAAGACCAGGGAACGGGGGCTGCCAAAAGAGTAGTAGGGTCAGTTCATCTGGTCTGTAGGCCTTTAAAAAACAAATTATAAACTGTCTTTAAGCAATTTCTACAGATATAGGGCAGAGAAAATTTAACCTATTCCTGGCTGAAGCCCACATCTGCCTCCACCAATGAAAATTTGCTGCAGGGGGAGGCGTACGTGAACGTGCTGGGATTTGTAGGTAGGGATGCCGGAGTCCAGATGCAACTTCTCTGTAAAGTTTCTGAAGCTGCTATTGGTTCCTCTAATGGACACGCCCCCCACTCCTTGCTGTCTTTTCAGATGACAATGGCAAGCAAGAAGATGGACCAATTCCAGGGTAAATCTTCCAAGTTTTTCATCCAGCCCAGGAGGTTGATTTGATTCGGCCTGGGTCTTCCACATGTCTTTGGAAAACAACAAACCTTTAAAAGTCAAAGTACTGCATTGCATTTTCTAGAAATATTTGTGGGAACAAGTTAATGCACAATTAATGAGATTTTAATCTGCTGTTATATGAAAATTGTTATTGGAATACTTCATTTAAATTTAAGAAAAAAATCAGAAGTGTGGACCCACTGTGAACCCACTCATAAATGTTAGCAACTCAAAGCAAAGGACATGCCTTTGAGCATTCTTTGAAACGGCCAGGCGCTTAATAACTCTTTCTTAATATTTTTACTACTATATCTCTGATTTGGAGGGGGGGGGTCGGCTCAAGACAACATGGCTGTGTGTTTTACCTTTATCAGACATGCAGAATCTCTTCCATTGCAAGATGCTTCTAAGGAGAACAGGATGGTCCACGGTGAAGACCAAGAATTCTTGCATCGCGTAAGTAGCCTGGAAAAACGCTTCGGCTTTTAGCCATGCTGTGAGAAAATATATCTAGGACAGGTGGAGAGGCTGCTCCGGTGGCTGGTGAAACGTGGATTGTTTGCTTGTTTAAGACATGCGTATGGCGTCCTTTGCCACAGCCTCAGGATGTCTTACACAAATAAAATTCCAAAATACATAGCAATATAATATTATAAATGACGTAATACATTCCACAATATATCCTCTCTTAATTAATAAAAATAATAAAAAATAAAATTAGGATTGGACGATATTCTTTTTATACCCACTTTTCCTCCCCTTGCAAGGAAGCCAGGCAGATTACAATCGCCTCCTCTCCATTTTATCCTCACAACAACAGCCCTGTGAGGTAGGTAGGTCAGGCTGAGTGCCCATGACGGCCAAAGTCACCCAGCAGGCGTCCTGGCTGATTGGTTCCATTGTATTGAACTTTTTAATGTCTAAAGCCCCTTCCCCCAACGACCTCCCTTACCGGGTCATTGTAGGGATCGAAACAAGGTCATCTACGTATTTTGCCCATGCCTTGCCCACGTTTCGTCTCTGTGGCAGGTCCTTCCGAGCGGAGAAGACGACGAGGACGACAGTGACAGCGACAGTGATGACGACGACATTCGGGTCACGATCGGCAACATTAAAACTGGAGCACCCTGTTACATGTACGTTTCTGTGTGTGTGTGTGTGCGCGCGCGCGCATGCGCGCGCTTCCAGTTCCTGCGCTAGGTTTTGTTCTTGGCCCGTCAGAACGTCAGGAATGGATGCCAACGTTCTGTTTCTGCTGCTGTTTTGTTTTAGTATTTATGTATTAAAAGCTTTTCTTGCCCATACCCTACAAACATCTCAGGATGGCTTGCAATAAATGAGTAAAATAAAACAAGCACCACAGCACCCAACAGTTAATATACTTAAAACCCCAGTTAAAATCAATTAAACATTAAAATAGCGGGAGGGGGTTTGCCTGATGCTGAAAAGATTATAAAGTCGGCGCCAGGCAAAAACTTGGCCGACGTAAAACCTGTTTTACCCTTGAAGGGGGCTGAAAAATAGCTGTAAATAAATCAGAAATGCACAGGATCGACCTGAGTTCCTGGAATGCAGCCAGGCAGCTGACAAGAAAAACATCTGAAGGGATCTTAGCATGATGGCAATACACCCCCTTTGATGCTGGAGGTCTTGGTCTGAACCCTTGGCTCCCCCACTTAAAATATCTTGGGTTGCAGGTCGGGGAATAGTTTGTTCTGCCTGGGACTCTAGGAAGGTGCTGCCACTGCAGCTGGATGGGCTGGATGGTCTGTCCTCAGACAGTCTAAGACATCCATTGCAGAGACATCAGAAGCTGACCAGGATGGAGTAACCCAAAGGTCTCCCTGGCCCTACAGTGGCTGCCAGATGCCATGAGTCCACAGCACCCACCAGCCCATAATCCCCTGCAGCTGACACACAGATAATGCGTAGCTGTTGATAGCCTCCTGTGTCCATCCATTTCTCTAACCCTCTCCTGAAGCCACCTCAGCTTGGCAGCCATCACCACTTCTCAGGCAAGTTCATAGTGCTAATACCTGCATCTCACTGAAACCCAGCCGGGGTAGGGTTCTGTGGAAGCACAGTCTACTGTCGAAGGCGGTGATCGATCCTTTTTCTCTCCCTAGGGGCACCCCAATGAATCTGAACCTCAAAACTGCACGTAATTATGGAGCATCAGGTATCCGCCTGGCTTAATTTCACTTGGGACTTTCAGCTTTCTTTCCTCAGACTTTCAGTCAGGATGAGGCCTGTATTAATGGTGCTGCTTAGGTTTGGGGGTACCCTCCTGAAATGCACTCTTTTAGGGGTTTTTTGGGGGACTGGAGAAAATCCCTGATTCCCATTGCTTCTGGAGGAGCAGATTCCCAGCCCATGTTGCGGGGTTGCTTGGGACAGGCAGTGGGATGCCGCTTCAGACACAGATGCCGCCATGACGAGGTGGCGCCGCTGTTTCTAGCACCACGTGGCAGCATGTGCCAGCCCTCTGCATCATGTTGCCTCGGCTTTATGTGGATCGTGGTGAAAGATGGCCACCACCTCTCAGGCCTGGACCTGCTGAAGGAACACAGATGGTTCGCATGCTGCCAGTGGATGCGAGCCAAGCTGGCTGGATGGGGCGCTCAACCTTTCATAGCGTTTTATCCTCCTTAAGAAAAGTCAGAACCGAACTCCGAGTTGATCCTGAGCTCAAGCCAAATGCTGTTTCGATGCTGCTGAGCGGGAAGTGAGCTCCTGGGAGAGCCTTACACATCATCAGTCCAGGATGCGCCTGCCATTTTAATCCATGGATTGTGCCTGCTTTTAATACAGTGCTGTCAGCACAGATGATGGCTCCCAGAGTCACTCATTTGTGCTGACCTTAAGTTTAAATCTAAAACTAGCGGAGGGCGTGTGCAAACCATATGGCAATGCACCTTACAGAGAAGATATGCAGGGCAATCTTGTGGGACAATCTGTGGTGTCAGCAGATGATCAGGCTCACCATGGGCTGTCCCCGCTCCCTCTTCCTCCTCCTCTGATCCCCTCCCCATATGCACTGGAGGATCCATCTTGTCTCCTCTTCCCACCCTGATCGTGCCCTTTTTGAAGTGGCCATGGCTTTTCTTCTGAGAGACCCCTTGCTTGTAAAAAGGGAAGGTGTGTAAATCCCCCTTTTGCAGCAAGATCGCTTTACGTTTCACCCTGACAGTTCTCGGTGTCCTCCACCTTTTCCCCCAAGACTTGGAAAAGTGCAACCCAAGGTCCCGCCAGAGAGGTGCAGCTCCTCACCTGTAGTTCTTCGAAAGCCAGGCCATTGGCTCCCAAAGCAAACAGCTGAACAGCGAGTGCTTGTGCTAACTGCCTGTCTTCCTTTCTTCAAAGCCAAGTTGCAGCCCAAAGGCATTGATCTGGACGCTGCAGGGAATATAAACGGCTTGCCGGTAATAGAAGTGGATTTAGAATCGTTTGAAGACAAGCCGTGGAGGAAACCAGGTGGGGCCTCAAAGTTTCCTGTGGTAAATATGATCCGTAGATTTCCTTTTTTGGGTTTTCATTTCATCCCTGGCCCCTGGGCGGGAGGGGGCGGGGAAAGCCTCTGCTCCACCTGCATGCTTTTCCTTTCGGTGCAGAAACCAGCGACTCTGGGTGGGGTGTGGGGCTGGTCTTGGGTGGAGTTATGCTCCCTGTCAAAGGCTGAGGGTTCAGTCTGGGTGGTCTCCTGGGCTCTGCGGTAGCTGCCGGCTGCAGCCCCATCCAGACAGGACTGACTGGGCCTATGTGCTAGGAACGTCCATGCTGAGCTGCTGCAGTGGGGTGGACGTGGGGCTGACGTTGGAGCGGGTCCAGAGACTGGCTCCCTCCTGAACGGACCATCCTAGCGTCGGTGAGCGTGACGCAGTTGGATCGCGTGATGCTTCCGGCCCCACTTGGAGTGCTGGTTTTGACTTACACGATTTGGGACCAGGTTACTTGCCGGACCACCGTCAGGGTTACCAGCCAGCTTGATCCTTGAAGTAGCAAGAGAGACTCTCTAACCTTGCCTGCGGGGACCAGTGTTTTCTGAGTCATGCAGGTTCTGTGGACTCGCAGACTGGTTTTTCACTTTGCGGGGTAGAGTTTGCACAAATTTGCATTAGTGTTGGCCTGCCTTGCAGTGCCGCACGAGCATGCACGGACACAAAAGTGCATTTGTGTAATTAGAACAAAGTTCTTGCACATCCCTAAAACACACACAGAATTCCGTCAATGAGAGATTGAGTGAACCATTTCCAAAGCACAGGATGGAACAGAGTTTACCAAGTTTGTACATCTCAGCTCTTCCTGTGGTTTAATCTCCTATTATTTATTATTTATTAAAAGCTTTCCTAACCCATCCACTACAAACATCTCAGGAAGCCTTGCTTAATCTCTTGAGTAATCACTGCCATGTTTTTCGGTCATCTCTGCCTTCCTGATTTACATATCTTAAAATGCGTCTTTCCCAGTTTTCTAGACTTACAGTCCCCTGAAAACAGCTTACAATCTACCTGTACATTTCAAATCATATTTAAGAACCAGTACAAAATACTCCTCAAGAAGCACGTGAAATTTTGCACCGTTTTTCAGAAGTTCACAGAGTTTGCCTGGCCACAGATACTGATCCACCCCGAAGTGCAGCATGCATTTAAACTCCGGAGGCTCCTAAACAGGGCGCTGACTCGGTCCCTTTCTTCTTGCGGCCACTTCAGGAAAGAGCACTGCAGCCGCGTCCAACAGAAAAGAGCAGCTTTCGCTGCCAGTGAACTGCAACCCCAACTATGAGGGTCTTTCCATCCCCTGCCAACAATCCGAGGGCCGAGAGAGGCTGCATTTATGCTGGAGAACAAAGCAACGAGATGCCACTTCAAAGGAGAGGGTGGCTCTGAATGCCTCCCCACATCTTGGTTTCCAAGGGTCCCTTAAGTGAAAGGGGAACCTTCGCGTTTTTCTCCCTGTGCATAACAGCACCAAGGACGTTTTTTTAACATTGGGCTGTATTTGAAAATCGGTTTCTTGCCTGCAGGATGGCGTGCTGCGATCCCGTCGCCCACCCCCCTCTCTCTCTCCTGGATGTCAGTTGCATTCTTGAGACCTCTTGTCCTTAAAGTTTTATTTGCTCGCTTCCAGGTGCTGACCTGTCTGATTATTTCAACTATGGATTCAATGAGGAAACATGGAAAGCTTATTGTGAAAAGCAGCGCCGGCTTCAGCTCGGCTTGGAGCCTTCAGCACCTGTTAGTACGGAAAATAAGATCATGGTAAGAGATGGAACTCCCCTGGATGCCTGCCATTCCGAGCGGTTCCTCCGTCCGAGGCCTGGCATTTTGCATTAGCCACATTAAGGCTAATCCGAAAACCATTATGACTCAGAAATGATTCTTTAGGTCCATGCATCATGCTTGCTCAGGAACATGGGTATTGTAGCCTGCACATCTGGAGGGCATCAGATCAGGAAAGACTGTATTTATAAAGCAGAAGTTAATATACAGATAAGTCTAATATCCTTTTTCAAAAATACATTCCTTATCACAAGCGAAACGAGCCAGTTACACATTTATTGCTGATGCCTTCCTTCATCCATCAGTCCACTTTAAAAATCCATTCCAGCTGCCCAGCTGTCTGCTCATCCTGCAGTGCTACGAACCGTGGAATGCAGCGGGTCAGGATCCGCAGCATCTGCATGTGGGCGCAGTCAGGAAGCCCCACTGGTCAGGGATAGGATCACACTCTTGCACCCAGGTTCAGCCCTGAGAGTCTCCATGCAAGGATCCTGGGCTGAGTCAGCTCAGGCTGACATACTCAGAGCGGGACTTGGAAAGCCAAATTTCCTGCCAAACCTCCTACAGGAGAGTTTCAACTCATCTGTTTTATCTGGATGTCATTCCGTTTTGCTTAGGTTCAGCAAGGAAGAACAGGAAATGCAGAAAAAGAACCAGAGAACAATATCATCAAAATGGATTTTAAGACGGATTTTGTGGCCCTGGTCGGTGGGCGGATAAAAGCCGGGCCTCCCCCGAACAGGTACACAGACCAATTCTGAGCCTCTCGTATCCGTTACATGTTTTGCCAAGTCCGTCCCAAGCCCTTCTGGTGTGAGCTCCATGGCTGTAGTTTTCTGTTAATGCATTTCACCTGGGCTTTGCTAGGGCCATGAATGTTTTTAGCCAGCCAGAAGAACACAGGGCTGCAGGATGCCGAGTTACCCCGAATCAGGCCCTCCTTGTGCTCCGTCGTCGCCATTTACCGGCTCCCATCCTCCAAGATTCCAGGCAAGCCCTTTTTCTGAGGATGGAGCTCGGGATCCTGCATCACTGAGCTTCAGGCCTCCCGAGGTCTGTAGCTCAGAGGACATAGTGCACATCCATGCAGAAGACCCCAGTTCAGTCCCAGTCCGGCAGCTCAGGAGTTCTCCAGCTGCAGAGCACAGAAGGGGCCCCTGCCAGAAGCCCTGGGAGGCTTCTCTTGGCGGTAGGAGATAATCCTGGCAGGGTGGATAGAAGGCAGCAGCTTCTGTTCCTCCGTCACCTGTCGTCTTCTCTGTTCCTCACTTTCCTTCCTCCTCAGGCTGCTGCTGATTCTGTGGTAGGAACTGGGTGCTGTTTGGCCCCGTTCCCATCTGCTGGGCTACCCTGCTCCTGATCGCCCCTTGGATTTCACTCCTGGGCATTCACACAGAGTATCAACCTGTGTGGGGACCATGACGAAACAGCAGTGGCTCCCAAGCAATGCAGCCAAGGTCTTGTTCTGTGGATTCGGGATCCTCACTCTAAAACCTTCCTTTTCCCTGGAAACCCAGAGGAGGAGGTTCAAAGCCTCGATGCTCTGGTCAACATGTCCCAGTAGTTGTTGGCTAACCAAGACTATTCTCCTGCCTGCTGGAAGCAGGATTCTATGCCAGTGAAAATCTGGAAGCACCAAGTCTTTGGGTCGCCCCAGGAGTTTCCATCTTGGTCCTTGAGATCTCCTGACTGAGGGCTTAAAACTACCCCCTGGCCCAGGTGTCGGTGCATCTTCTCCCGGCTTGCACAGATGAGGCAAGAGGGAACCAAGAATGCCCCTCGCCGGCCGTCAGCTGCTGAGAGAGCTCTGCTTGTTCCCCTTTCAAACCAGGAAGCTGGGCGGGACGATCGATGTCATTGGTGGACAGGCGGGCACAATTCGGAGGGTGGAAGGCCGCCGCCGCGATAAGCACGCCTCCGAGGAGAACCCCATTCAGGTAGGACGGGGCGTGGGACCTGCATCCGCCTGGTTCTGCGTTCCAGCCCAGGTGCAGGGCGTTCTCAGCTCTCTGAAGAGAAAATCTGATTTCCAGTAGGGTGTGAAGAGCTAGCTAGGCTGAATCAGAAAGCCCTTGAACACTCTCAGCTCTGTTTGTGGTGTAGAAGATGTGCGTCAGCTGCAAAAGTGGCACATCTGGCTGCTTAATTTGCATGTCTGCTGGCACATAATATTGCTCAAGGGCTTGTCCACATGGGGGGAATTTATTCGACCCGCCGGCCTGGCCCTCTCCCATGCCCCGCCCTGCGCTCTGCTGCTGGGACGCCGAAGGATTCTGGGGTGAAAGGTGCCTAGATGGCAGCTGGTCCTGGGTTCAACCGTCCATTGAAATGACCTCTGCAAGCAGGCTTTGGAGGGCCGCTGGGCAGCCCCACACAAAACTCCTGGGCCAGGTCTTTCTCACATTTCCAGGTATTAGGGGCTAGAAACTTGCTTTTTCTAAAACTTTTTCCAGATTCTTGGAGAGCTGAACTCCAGGCTAGAGCAGTCCCCTGGGCAGGCCCAGGAATAGGCAGCTTGCGCGATGGCTTGCTTGCTTCCTTCCTTCCTTCCTTCCTTCCTTCCTTCCTTCCTTCCTTCCTTCCTTCTTTGAAAACCTGGCCCTCTTCCGCATTGCACGCTTTGTTTTCAAGGTACTTGGGGACCACGGGAGCAAATCGCAGCCTCCACAGCAGCCCCAGCCGTCATCGCAGTCGCAACAGACACCTCAGCAGCAGCCGTTTGCCCCACCCGCGGGTCCTCCGCCCCCAATCGGCGGCCCCCCTCCACCCCACTTCCTTCATCCTCCTCCTCCGCCCGTCACATCCGTCCCGCCGCCTCTGCATCCTCCAGGTAGGTGCCCGCGAGCGCAGGCGCCTCCTCGCAAACCGTGGCCCCCGAGTCGCAGCCACACAATTGGACGTCCGTCCCCGCTCTCCATCGGCAGCCAGTGCCAAGGCTTGTGCTCCTGGACTGCTGCCCGAGAACCGCTTTGCCTTGCGGGAGACACTCTGCTCTGCATCCCCACAAAAGGCTTGGCTTTGCCCTGTGCAAGAGTCAGGATCGCACACCCTCCGAGAAAAGATGCTAAATCCTCATCTTTATAATATTTACTCTTCCCAATAATCTTTATAAGCCTGTTAAACTAGAGGGACAGCCTGCATCATCGCTGCCCTAACTCTCTGTCTCGTCTTGCGCAGGCTTACCACCCCCGGGGCCCATTCCAGGTATGTATGTTGCAGGTTTTTGCTTTGAGTAATGTTCATCATCAGTTTCCATTATAATCTGCGTATTTTTGTACCTCATCTCCCACGAATACATTGTTCTCAAAACGTTTCACCGGTGAGACGGTCCAAATACAATAGCCGTAGTGTAGCAAAATTGTAACACGATGCAACATACATTAGTAGTTCAACAATAAACTGTTCCTATGAAATCGATCCTAAACTAAGGTGGGTAGACGTGCAGTTGGGTTGGTTGGTTTGAACGGAATAAGCTGCGGCTTAGCGCCCATTCCATCGATAACCTGAACCTCTCTAAAGCGTGGCAGCATTTTAAAAAGCAGAAACTTAAGTAATGGAGCGTGTAAGTCTGAAGGCAGCTTCAGTGTGCTCCACGAAAGAGCAAGCAGATCTGAACCTAGTGAAGGCTTAGATAGAATCTACTGGCTGCTTGGGATGTTGCCGCAGGGGTGAACTTACACATTATGAGCGAAGAAAGCGCATCATGGGCTTTGTTAATATGTAGCTGCCTGGTGATAGGCCCTCGTACCATTAAGTTGCATGTTTCCTGCCCTGGCCGTGGGCCTGTGCTGGTGGAAACAGGGGGAAAGCAACATGGGGACTGGCCGCATGGTTTCTGAGGCATTTCCTCAGAAAGAAGAATTTGCAGGGGAGACCAGGCAGTGGCGGCTGTGTTCATGAGCAAGCCCAGGTTTGTAAGGAAGGTGGAGCAGGGCGTAAGTGGAGTGAAGGCATCTGCAGTTCTGCAGTGGCATCCTAGAAGTGGCTTCCAACAGTTTCCGCTTTGCTTGCAGGCTTGTTCCCTCCACCTCTTGCTCCACCACCCGCTCTTTTGATTCCAACACTAGATGGGTAAGTGAGAACGAACATGAATGCTCCCAGCTGTCAAGAGCTCGGCATCTCTTTTTAATCCTGCCACACCTGTTAGGCAAATGCACAGGAGAAGACCAAGGTCCCGAATGCCGGCAGTGAAGTGGTGCCTCCATCTCCAGAGTCTGGCTGGACGACCCCAGCAGCTGTACAGGACATCCTCCCTTATGGGACTGTGCAGTGGCAGGTTCTTTCCTTCCGGTTCCTGGAGGCACGACCCGTTCTCCTGCTGCAGCGACAACGCAACCTTCAAAACACATTTATTCTATCCCATGAGTCACTTTGTCAGATGCACTTTCTATAGTGTTTGAAGTGTATATGCAGTACAAATTGGGCAGGGGCAGAGAAATCTAACCAGCGATGTCCGAAAGGAAAAGCTTATGCCGATGATAATTAAAGGGAGAGACCTTCGAGCAGACTACCCCAAGGTAGTGCTCTGCAAAGTGTCACACTACCGTTCCCAGCTGCCCCAGCTGGCGGCACAGTTGCAGCCAACGCTTCTGGAGAGCCCCAGTTTGGGAAAGGCTGCCTTGGTGTTATGAGTATCAGTTTTATTTCTATACCCCCAGCAGCCAAAGCTTTCTGGGCACATAAAGTACAATACCGCAACAAGAGAGAAATGAAATACAGATGGCATTAAAACTGTAGAAGGCTGTTGTACAATATGGGAAACCAAATGTAAGACGCGAGAATAGTTCCTATGAATCCAATCGCAAGACCTGCTTAAACAGCTAGGAAAGCAAAGAAAACTAACTATATGCTCCTTGTGGAGAACAGTCTTAACCTGGCACCAGAAAGATGCAAAAGTTGGTGCCAGGCGGGCCCCATTGGGACGCGTGTCCTACAACTGGGGGCTGCCAAGGCCTAAGTGCTGCCGCTCGGCACTGAGTGACGGAGACTGTTGCTAACTGTTCCCATGTGCTTTCTCTCGCCCTCTCTCCTCAAAGCCAGCCTGCCAGCTACAGCAATCGGCAGCCGCCTCCGTTTGGTTACAATTCCACAGGTGAGCCTTTGCTGTGGGGAGGATTGGGCTACAGTCTTGTATCTGCATGTCACTGAACCCTGGAGAGACCGACTGAATCTTCGTATCCCTACTGGGGAACTGTCATGGAGTCGCGATGGTCGGACATGACTTTGCGACTAACAACAGCAGCAGCAAGATGGTTCACTCGCGAACATGGATTAAACCAGTTGGTTAAGGAGCCCTGATTTTCAGGCCGTGCTTGGAGAGTTCACTGCCATCTTGCTGCTGAAAAGTCAGACTGAGGGTTGCCTCTCCACCGGCATGCAGATGCCTGACCCCGGTGGTGAAAGGCCCCCTTTCTTCCCCACAGATTCAGGCTTCATCAGCTACCCCCCCATTTCTACATCTCACACGCCGTGGGTGACAGCGGTGGACAAGGGTGCCAGTGCTTCCGACCCCGGTCACTGGGAATACTCCGGCACGAGGAGGGAGAGGGAACGGGAACGGGAACGGACCCCCACCACCAGCGAATACAGCAAGTGAGTGTTCGGCTGACCTGTGCAGGGCTGCACAGCTGCAGGGGAGGCGAACCCAGATCAGGCAAGATACTGGTACTGGGGCAGAAGCCGCTGCCCACCAGCTTAGACGTTGAGATGAAAATGTGAGCCTGCAGTGCTGCCAGACTCAGTGCAGTCCATGAGTGGTGCAGCTCTGGAAGGAGAAGAGGGAAGTCCAGTGGCTGGAAAATGGGACTCAAGCACCTTTCATGGTTCTTTGCTCCACATAAAAGAGCAGCTGTGAAATGCAGCCGGCCTGAATGCATTTAGCTGTTCGCTTTGCTTAGCAGAGACTGTGTAGTGACTCTGGGGCAACGTCACGTTCTTATTGCCATACAGAGTCCTGCTTGTTGTGACAGTGATGCAAGACTGGTGGGTTCAGAAACATAGAGTCAGAAGGGGCCTCCTAGGCCATCTAGTCTGACCCCTGGCTCCAGCCAGTTCCCCTCCTGACATGCTCACCACGTGCATGTCCAGCCTGTCCTTCACCCAGAAGATGGTTTCAGGTTCCACCAGGAATAAGAGAAGCCAGGGGAAAGATCAGGGGAAAGGCCCCGGAGCATCTCTGCATCAGGAGTGTGGGAAGTCAGGTGTGCTACGCATTACTTGTAGGGATGGGTGTTTCAACTGCAAGGGCCAGAACAGCCTCCCCAAACTAGTATCCTCCAGCTGCAGCTCACTACAACTCCCAGGGTGTGGCTGGGGGATTCTGGGAGTTGTGTTCTGGCCCGTGTGGAGAGCATCACTTTGGGAAGACTGGGCTAGAGGCACTGCAGAGAAGCGCATCCTGAAGTCAGAGCTGACGCTGTTTTAAAGTTGCCTCTGGTGGCTTCCAGTGAGGGATGGCTGCTCCTTAACTGAGCCAAGTTGCCCTTGATTAGGACCACCTCACCCATGGCAGGAAGAGGTGGACTGGCAGCCCCTTTTCTCTGCTCTCGGAAGGGTCCTCGCTACTCCTTGGGATATATTTTCAGCATATCTTCAGACAAGCGTCAAATGTTTCAGAAATGGCTTGAGCAGCTTGCCTGTTGCTGTCACCTGCAGCACCAAGGTATGGTGTGGTTTTCGGTACATTTCCCAGTATGGAGGGGCACAGGTGTGACTGGTGAGCACACCTGTGTGTTCCACGGATTCACTCATCTGAGGGGAAGCTGAACATTGAGACTGCTCGGTGCCATTCCTTCTCTGATTGCTGCTCAGTCTGTTCTCCCCATGTTCCTCCCAGCCGTCTTGGTGGACACAGAAGGTATATGGTGGTGGCCAAAGGAACCCTTGGAGCAAAAGCCTCAGCACTTTGCTGGGAAAGAATTGAGGGAAGGACGTCACGGACGCAATACTGAGGCTTTAAAAGGTTTCCTCGCATTCCTGCAGCAGCCACGTTGGTGGAGACCCCACACAACACAGCCAGGGCTTTCCACAACACACTTTTGCTTGCCGGAGAGGGCCTAAAAAGGGGGTTTCTGCCAGCAACACATTTGTGTAGGGCACGTTGGAAGGGCCGTGGCTCATGTGCTCGGAATAGAGAAGGGCCTAGGGTCAGAAGATCTGCCTGAACCCCCGGAAAGCCGCTGCTGCCAGTCAGTGCCAGCAGTGCTAGACCAGATGGGCCAAGGCCTGGCTCAGTGAAAGGCTGTTTCCTGTGCTGATACTCTTTCCACCTTGGCTTCAGCTGGCCGGCAGCAGTTGGCAAATCCAAGCAGAAGCTTAAACGTGGACTAACCCGTTTGTCTTCCCTCTGCCTCACAACGGTTCGTTCCCTCCTTCCAGCGATGACGAGAGGTACCGTTACTACAGCCGGGAGCGCAGCTACGATTTTGAGCGCGACTACCGCAGGAGCAGGGATTGTAGCCGCGAGCGGGAAGATCGCCACCGGGAGCGAAGGCACCGAGACAAAGAGGACGGCAGCAAACACAAATCTTCACGGCGGTAAGGCTTTGCGCATCCGCAGAGCGGGACCCGGACAAAGCGCGGACGTCCCGCTGGGAACAGCCGCTCCCATTGGAATCCTAGCAGTGGAAAATGGTTTCCCCCTTCCTGCCTCAGCCCAGGGCAGTTCCGTAGATGCTCGCTGTCCTTTCCTCTGGTGTTACATTTGAATGGGGGGACACACTTGGCTACCACTGTCTCATGCAGGTGCGGCGGGGCCTGGCGGAAAACGGGGATGGTGATACAGATGACCAGGGAAGGCTGGAGTCCCATTACTGCGAGCAACTCTGTATTGCTCCTCAGGGCAGGAATCTGCTGCTGAGAATTACCCCAGGCTCTTCTGGATTTGTCTGCCTGAGGTCTGATGTTCCCCCCATCAGATTAGGGGGCCAGTGGGAATAGCTGGAGCTCCCAGGTCAGAGCAGAAGGATGGCTGCCTTCCAGAGGTGATGCAAAATGTGGAAGGGGTGCTCACGATCCAGTGACGGCCTCTATTATTCCGTTTCAAACACTGATGTTCTCCCTCGTGTGCAACGGATCTGCTGGAGTGCAGTAGTAGAGAAAAAGCTGGTGGTCTTCACATTTGATGCCATAAAAGGCTCCAGCCCCACCAAGGACCGTTTGATTTATGCAACAAGGAACTGACGCTTTCTTCCTGTCCTCCTTGTTCTTCTCAGTAAGCAGCACGAGAGTGAAGAAGGGGAGAGCCACCGACGTCACAAGCACAAAAAGAACAAGCGCAGCAAAGAGGAGAAGGAGGTGAGTGAGGATGGCGTCCCAGAGGGAAACGGACAGGATGCCAAGGAGTAGTGGATTGCATGCCGAAAGCGGCCCTTATGCAGCCAACCTAGCGGTCTCCCGTGACTTTGTTTTCTGAGATGACCGGGGCCCAAACGGTTGAAAAGCCAGGCTGGACTCACAATCAGACGATTGGGAGAGAGGAGAAAAATCTGGCGCAGCAACCGCAAACGAAGCACTGAGCTATTCCACATGCAGGTAAAACTCCAGCCTGTCACAGCCTGATGTGAGTCGGCTTCAGCAGAAACTGATGCACTTAGAATATAGGACTATATTGGGCAATTTATGGATGTTGTTTAAGAAGTAGGACAGTCATAGCAACACGGAGCTGCTTTGTTAAAGAAAAATGTTAGGTCCTCCCAGCAGCCGGCTTCGTCTGGCTTCCATAAGCTCCCCTCTTTCCCTTATTCCCCATCCCCTGCCCAGTTCTTGTAGCTATGAAAATCTCGTTTCTTTCAAGAAAGGATCAGAGAGCCAATGAAATCAGCTTGGTTGATGGTGCAACATGGACATGGGCTGGCAGGTCTTTGAGAAGTGTGCTTCTCTGGAGATCAGGAGTCTTCAAAAGGGAAAGTTTTCCCATAGCCAAGTTCAAGGGACCTCATTGTGAATGGAACAGGTCTTGAGAGGTCCTGCCTTAAATAGTTTGGCGCAAACTATTTATTGTAGCCATCAAGAGTCTCTCCTTTTGCAGTCCGACAACACTAAATTTTGATGGTTTACTCTTAAGTCACTGACACACTTTTCATAGCTCTTAAAACACTAAGTGTCATCATATTTATGTTCTGTTTCCCTTCCAAAGAAGGTGATGAAGTTGCCATTGGATTCTGAACCGATGGTCACCGTTGTGTGTAGCTCCCTCATTTTTAAATCCTCCTCCACCTGCAGGAAATTCATCAAACACTTCCTGAAGTTGTGTTAAATTTATACCTTTTTTTTGTATTGTAAGTTGAGTGTTTGAAAAGAACCTTGAGCCAATATGCCCTTGTATTTTGGCTTGTATGCTACAATGGTGCAGTGAGTGCGGTCAGTAACTGGAAAAAAAAGTGGGAAATAAAGCAACTTTTTTTTCTTTTTTTGGACAATGTGGCTAATTTCTGTGTGGTCTTCGTTGATGGACGGCAAGGAAACCTCTCTGAAAACAACAGTGGCCCTTCCATTATGAATGGCGTGGTGGGGCAGTTCCAGGATAGACTCACCTGATCCAAGGTAGCTGTGAGCTCCGACATGCCCTGCCTGAACCGAGGATGCACCCAGCACCTTCTGCACCCCCTGGCAGCAGTAAGCCCCACATGACATAGGGGAGGCCCTGAACGTTTTTCTTAGCAAAACGAGGGCGTTGCTTTAAAAAAGCCAGCTTTAATTCAGTGCAGAGGTCTGTCTGTCGGTGCTTGCAGCCCAAATTGAACAGTTGGGAGGGATTCTGTCAGCCGGGGAATGTTTTCATATGCCACAGCAAAAGTGCTCTGGGGACCTGTGTATTCCATTCTAGGCCGGTGCAAAACCTTGAAAGTGGGACTATGGAAGAAAGTCAGATAATAAACGCAAAGCCATTCATAAACAAAGGACTGGATACCCAGAAGAGGTCTCAGTCTCTGTCCCCCCGCATTTAGCCAGCCAACCCTGACCCAAACCATGTATCGGTCCCCGAAGCAGAAGACTGTGACCGCAACTCGGGTTGTTTGATGTTCAGTGCCCTCTTCCCTACAGAGAACCGTGTGGATCTCTTCTAGAAACCCGGGACCAAGTCATTCCATTTTGACAGCGCTTGTGGCTTCTCCAGGGTTTATCTGCACAGTGACAGAACTGCTGCAAATAAAACCAAGCCGAGCTGGCAGAAAGCCCTCTTCAAGCAAGGCCAACCTGGTCAGAATAAAAAACCCAAACAGTGTCAGTAATCTCAGAATAATTTATAAATGCATCAAAACAGTGTCAAATCTGTCACGTTTCTACAAATTCTTTGGTACAAAGCAATTTAATAGCTACTAGAATTCCTGGAAAACATTAAAGGCACCTTGAAATAAGTCAACACAGTGAAATGGTGCTGCTCGTTGGGGGAGAGGCATTGGATTCCCTCTTTGCAGCAGTTACAAGGGACAAACGTTACAGAGGCCGCAGGAGCCTGGCCGGGAGCTGGCTGGAATTGTCCTGATCAGCACACCGCAGAGAGAGAAATGTATGTTCATTAGCACCACACTTTCACGGAAGCGCTAACCCCTTGCATGCACCCACACTCGGGTGGCGTGCGGACGGACCTCCCTTTGAAAATCACCACACCACCGTCCCCACAAATAGGGCACCGGCAATGGCTGGTAACACAACTCTGTGCGTGCGCACAACCACCTCCAATTTAAAGGCATGATCTGGTCTCCCTTGGGGGATTTTCACATTCCTGCTCCACATGAGAACTGACCGCTGTTCCGATATGTCAGAAGGAGAAGGCAGTTTCACTTGAACTGTCATTCTGCAAAAGGGCGGAGCTGAAGGGCATCGGAGAGCTGGTGCGAAACCCATCCGGCAAACAGTCGGCCTGCAACCCCAGGCAGTACAGAGACCTGCATGTGTGCATGCCCCCCGCATGAAAGGGCCCCAGGCAAGGCCCATTCAGACATTGCGCCTCTTTGTGGAATGCGTCCTGACACTTAAGTTGAGGCAGAGAAGAACAGCAAGCTGCACGCTATGGACCTGGAAACCCAGCTGAGAAGAGCAGCCCACACCACGGATGAAGCTTCCACAAGCACGTCCTCTTGGTGTGTAACCACTCCTAATCTAACAGCATGCAGACCCCCTTGGGAGGCTATGCAACAGCTACCAGAAAACCAAGACCTTGAACCGATACTATAACTGGGCAACCCTCCCTTTAGGGACGAGCCTGGAGGGGGTTGTGTGGAGAAGAGGAGAACAATGTACTAAGGTTTTATTTGGTGCCTGGTGGGAGCAAAAGGCCCCCTCCATTTATTTAGCAACTATATAATGACCTTTACCTACAATTTCCATGTTCTCCTCTATATGTCAGGAAGGCCTGGGCAGGTTGGAATTTCCACCTCCTCTACAATTGCTAACAGCACAGAGTCTAGGATGAGGGAAAGGATGCTAAAGCTTCTTGGGTCGTGAACCCTGAAGAAAGAGTTAACAAGGAAAGACCCATGATGTAAGGTGGCTTTTTACCTTTTTGAAAAAGATCAGGATGTGGGCAGGTAAAAGACAACAAAGGAGAGGCTGCTTTGATTCATTTCTTTCAAACTAGATGAAATGACAAGCTGTCTCTCTTTCTTCCCTCTTTCTGGGAAGGGCGCACCTGGACAGGGTAGTGGCAGGACCAACTTAGATTTTGGCGCTTCTCTACAGAGCTGGGCAGGGGGAAAGAATACAACTGGAGAAGGGCAGAGCATCCCACCAACTCTGCGCTTTCCCAAACTATTCCACAGCTCCCAACCCTCATTCTTAACAGCAGAGAACATCCAACTTTAAAGCAGAAGGTAGCTACTGAAGCAGGCTTCACGCAAGCATCTCACACCCTTTCACAGAAATTGCCAGGGAATAGAGGCAAACTTTACATAGCAAATGACTTGGAATTGAACAGAGCTGAAGACAGGGGACCCCGTATTGTGATGCAGACTGAAACAACAATTCCTGTTTCCATCCCGTCTACCATGAAAAGGAACAATGGCCGCGGTGAAGCGCACCTGCTGTATTTATTAGTTGACATCGTCAAAGTTGCCACCAAAGTTAAATATTAGGGCAACAACAGAGGGCCACCATTCATTGTGCACACCTTTACGAGCTCTACCTGTCATCTTTGATCTGAGCAGGATTAAAACAGGAGTTTTAGGCTCAGAGTTCACCTGTGGAACACATGAAAGGCCATGAAAAACAACACTCATAAAATGACAACTCAAACGGCTCGCTAGGGCATGGGCTTCCTTCAGAGGGAGCTAGTTGGGCCTAAAACTCGATTCTATCAAGAAGCTACATTTCTTGTTTGCTTAGGAATGGGACTCCTGGTGACCAGCTCTATGTTTCCTTGGTTGGGGCCTCATGCCAGGCTTTGAGGCTGGCACCAAATAGTTCCTCAATTAAACTTTGGATTAGGGTTTACTTCTTAGACAGGGCTACCAGGCCAAGAGACCACTGTGAGGGTTACTTTATTGCGTTGTTCCTTCAGCATGGGGATGAGCTCGCCATTGCTCATTCCGACAGCGGACGTCCCGTTCACGGCCACGATCTCATCCCCGCACCTGATTAGGAAAGAGAAAAAACCAGTGTTAAGGCAAAGCAACTGCCCAGGCACCTACGACCCAAGAACCCTCCACAGACATCAGGCTTAAATTTCACGAACAATCCACCTTGAGCAACCACAGCCTGCTGCTGGGTTCTTTCGGCCAAACCCAGGAGAGCAGTTTCTGCCTGGGTTGCCAGAATGCTGGGTCGCTCTCGCTAAGCAGCCAGAGCCACTTGGCGAGGGCTGAACAGAAGCCCAAAGATCCGGTCAGCACCACCTTGTTCAACCAGAGAAAAATCCGTAGAGAGCAGCATGGAGCAGAGTGAACTGGGCCCCACGGACGGGGAGGTGCAAGCACAGCGGGGGCTGAGCATGCCCGCTGCCCCTCTGCGTGATGCAGTGCCCCAGCCTTGCCTCTTTCGAAGCCACCCTCTTTCCCTGGAGCCAGCCATCTTCCTTCATGCACGCTGAGCTCAAAGGCCTCGCCTCCAAAATGAGGCCCCAGCTGGAAACCCTCGCACTCCAAGCAGGAGGATGCGCGTGGAGGCGCTTCACACAACCGCCGAGAGTGGCGGCCCAGTGAGTGGGGAGCGGGTGCTGGGCAGGGCTCTTCGGCCGCTGCACATCCGTGTCTCTGCATGAGTCTCTACCCGGGGCTCCTCAGCACTATGAATCGAGGAGCCCGTCTCGGCAGCCCTGATGGGACGCGGAGATGTGTGGCTGGCTGGCCGATTTTGCGTTCCCCACAGAGGCACTGCACAGAACACCGGAGATTCCGCAAGGGCGCCGACGGAGTACGTACTTCAGCCTTTTGTCTCGGTAGGCGGGGGTTCCGGGCACAATGGTTTTGATGAAGAACGGCTGGCTCCCTTTGTTTTCTTCAAAGCCGCCGACGATGCTGAATCCCCAGCTTTCAGGGTTGCTTTTGCGGAGGATAATATCTTGACAGCAGTGAAGGTGGCTGAAACAGAACACATGCCAGTCAGGGAGAGCTCACACTCCTTCCCTCTTTTGACATGGAAGCGGAATCAACTTTCACCTTTTTGGGGGGGGCGGGGGCTGATAGCAGCAGGGGCAGCCTTGCTAGAAATGCCCCATCTGCGTTACATTAGTGCACTCTTTGAAGTCGATATGGGCCCGAGGTTGTTACTGCAACGATCTCTTGGCCTGGGGGATCAGATATCTGCTTTGCAATTGACTGTGCATCAGGGAAGAATGCCTTGCGGCCGGAGACGGATCTGGCCACAAGGAGGCACGCAACCGGGATAAAGGGAGCTGCCCTGCTGGGCCAGCTGTCAGGAAAGGTCTTTCCAAGAGGCAGTAACCATGTCCCTGTTGTCTTTCTGACCTGGTTGTCACACGCCTACACACACAACACCCTCAGGACAACACGACAGACTCATGCAGAAGATGCCCGCCCTAAGCTGTGCATCCCCTCCTCTGCCTATCAGCGTGTATGATGGAAGCACATGATGCAAGAAGACCGTATTGGGTGCTTCAAGGCCCAGTCCAGTGTTAGGGCAGTATTACATACCACTGCATGTTATGGGCAGAGGAGAACAAAACTGCGGGTGCCGGATGGCCACTGCTTTCATCTGAAAATGTACTGTTGCCATCGCATCGAGCTTCCTTGATTTTCCCGAGAGCATTTTGCAGTTCTAGGAAGCCGCACAATCTGCAGAAATGTTCATCTGGTGCTCTCTTCTAAGATACGAGTTGGCCACAGAGCTAATGGTGACTTTGGGTCAATCGCAGACTCTCAGTCCAACCTGCCCCACAGGGTTATTGTTGTGGGGACAGGACTGAGAGCTGGAGGAGGAGAATGGTGTAAGCAGCTCTGAGTTCATAAGAAAGAAAAAGTGGGATATAAATCTAACAAATAAATCTAAGTGAGCAATAGTCAGCTGCTACACCAAGCCACTATTTGTTCTAATCAAAATGGAGAATCCAAACCATGTCTGAATCTTTCAAAGCATGCAAACAGACCAAAACCATCGTTCAAAGTATGCTGTTTGCGTTTGTTTCCTGTCCTCTCAGCTTCTTAAATTTACTCTGACCTCCCCAGTCAGACCTTCTGGTGGCAGGACAAGGGCCCTAAAACCTGGTCCATCAGCTTGGACATCACAACAAACAACAGTTAAGCTTCCTTCCTGTGAGGTCTCGGCCACTGACTTTGAGAAATATTTGCAAGTATCACTTTGCAAAGGCACGGTGAACAAAAGTACCGAAAAGCTTTGGGCATTTCTTACATGCTTTGTTTGACAGACAAGACTAGTGTTGAAAGAGGACCAAGCCCAAGGTAGGCCAGCCCAGGAGAAATTTCCCCTGGGGACACCTAGCCAGCTGACCTACCTGGGCAATCCAAGCCACATGGTCCAGAGTGGAGCCCAGCTGAACCCAAGTTCTCTTCCATCAAGACCCTCGGGGGACTCCGACGCTTGCTCTGGGGCCACAATTTCCAAGGCTTTCAGTGTGACTGTGTGCAGCGCAGCATTTGCTTTCAGTGCCGAGACCGCGTCATTGTAGCTCAGATGAGTCAAATCAACATGGTTGATACTCAGAAGTACATCTCCTGTGTTCGTATGGGGACAGAAAATAACCGTTTGTTAAAAATAACAGCTCGTGCAATTCCATTAACAGGTAATTCCTGCTCCCTCCGTGCCAGCTCATGCACTAAGCTGAAGGGGAAGTTCTAAGCACATCTTACCTTTCTTGATCCTACCATCTCGGAAGAGACATCCAACAGGCTGCACACTAGTTACGTAAATGGGGAGTCTGTGTTTAGCATCTCTCCCGCCACCAATCGTTATTCCTAGAGATTCTTTGGGCTCCTTTTTTATGATAACTACTTTCTCGTGGTTGAGGTAACCTTGAGGGAGTGCCTAAAAGGGAGGAGAGGGAAGGGAGAGACACACACAACAGCTTGTCCATTAGTTGTACAACACTGCGGACAAGTTCCGATATTGCAGGAGAAGAAACCACTACTTTGCTCTATTTCCATGAGCCAGACCAGTGAATATCAGACTCCCGTTTGGACTGATACATCCCTTGTATGTAACAGGCTGTGTCAAACAGAACCTAGCACTAGTCACAAAAGGAGTCATTTTGGACCCCAGACAAAAAGTAAACACTGCATATGAAAAGGCTTTTCTCCAGCAGAATGTTTCCCCCAGAAAGCTTGAATCAGCATAACATTTCAGGTTTCACTGAGTACAGCTAATTTAGGACTTAATCTCTTCTGCGGCAATGCATACCAATGGTTGACTATTACCCATAATCCACATAACAAAAGTTTGCTCTACTAATTTTAAACCAGCATAAAAGGGCTTTCCCTCAATGGATTTTAATTCTGTTTGCTGGAGGTTTTCACTTTCAAAATAGACAAACATGACCTGCACATAACCTTCTTTCATCCCTTTGTTTGGGGTATTAAAATACCCCACACATCTGGGGATATGAATTTTCTCAGCAACAATATATATCCCAGAGACACTGGAACTTTTTGTTTCTTCCTGAGTTGTTAACAGACAGCGATATAATAATAGGAAAAGCCTTAAGAAATTAAGCAACTCCTGAGAAATTCTCAGCCAGTTTAAGGAAAGCTTCTTCACATACTGGGGAGCTCAAATATGGAATCATCTACTAGTCGCTGGCACTGAAATGACAATCTGCTCCTAGGCCTCCTTTCCTCCAAGAGGAGGAAACGCACGAATTGGGCAGGGGGCAGGATCAGCTCCTTAAAGGCAACCTTTGCTCTGCAGTTAATGGAAGCTGACTTGCTCTGAGCTTTACTAGTGAAGAATACTTCTGCGGAGGAATCCATAATACAGATGCAGGTTGTCGCTCACCATCTGGTCTCTTTCCCACACCCTGCAGTGCTGTCTGCAGAAAAGCTTCTGCCGGCAGCAGCGGCTAAATCAAGGCCGTCGAAGCCGAAGCCACGCACCTTCTGGAAGCCGGTTTTGCGCTGGTAGTGTGGCTGCTGCAATCGCCTGGAGCCATGTATGGGGCTTCCCCCACTGCTGCCGCTTGACATGCTCCCATCTTCCACAGCATCTGAGAGCTGCCCGCCAAGCTGACGGAGAACCACGAAGTTGACTCTTGCTTCACTCATCTGTCAGGAAAGGCCCGAAAGGAGACACTTAAAGGAATGTTTTCGAACAGGAAAGTTCAAAGGCTATTGCATAATCACATGGCTTAAAGGTAACTGTGGATCGACAGGAAAATATATCATGACGGCTAAAACCAGTCTGATATTTAGCTGTCGCCAGGTAACTTCTAAATGAGGGCTCCAGGTTCCAGTGCAGATGGAAACCTGCCTGGATCTCTCCAAAGTACAGTTTACAGATCAGGAAACAGCTTGGGAAAACACACTTCCTTTCCCATCGCAACACACACATACACACAGCCCTGACATACATGGAAGGCTAAACTATGGTGTATCGAACACAGGGCAACAACGCAGCAAAGGCAAACCAGGTGGGTTGATTTAAATATTTTGGGGAAAGGAAGGATTTAGTTTCACAGCTTATAATTGCAATATCTCATAAGAGCATAAATATATATATATTTATCTGGCCAGGGCGACTTAATTATCTGGCCAGGGCGACTTATTTATCTGGCCAGGGCAACTTATTTTATATTGTTAATTTGTTTTATGTTTTTAATGTATTATATTTTAATTTATGTTGTGAGCCGCCCCGAGGCTTCGGCGAATGGGGCAGCATAGAAATGTTTTAAAAAAATAAATATACTGGTTTTCTATAACCATTAAAACAGACTGGTATGCAACTCAAAAGGAAATGTTTTATTTACAGACTGCATGTCTTTTGCAGTGAAACAAACATGAGTGGTTTCTATTTGTTTGTCTATGAAAGTGCAAAGACAATGAAGTAAAGGTTAAACTCCCATAGCTTGGAAGCAGGAAAGGAATATAGAGAAAATGAGAAGAAAACCCCTGGAAAAGGACCTGATCTTAACCCTGCAAGGAGCCTGTAAGCAGACAACTCTTACTGCTGCTGCGAGTCAAAATAAACAGTATGAGTTTAAACAGTCCAGTCCCACCAAGGGTGGCTTCACATGACTGGCCTTCCCTGCTGTAACCTTCAAAAACTTCGGGGCTGAGCTATTAGATTTTGATTAGCTCCTCTTTGTAAAGTGACCTGGATGATCTGCGCGGCTGCTTCAGGTGTCCCCTGACGCAAGTCCTGGCCATTGATAGAGAGGACTTTGTCATTCTGACTCAGCTTCCCATTCTTGGCTGCCAAGCCTCCGTCGAGGAGATCCAGAATGAAAATCCCCGGTTCGTCCGTTTTCCTGATCAGCTTGATGCCAAGGGGCTCAGTCTGGTCCCTCTTGACCAGGGTAACGTGGATCACTTCCTGGTTCACCGGACTGGCATCCAGCGGCCCAGCCCTGCTGGTGAATCCTTTCTCTTGCAGCACGGTGAAGTGGAGCACAGCTCGAGGCTGGCGCAGCAGGGAGACAGCCTGGCCGTGAGTCACGCTGCTGATGTTGACGCCATTCACCTTGGAAGAGGAGAGAAGCACACACTGATCAGGGAGCTGTTTGGAACAGGGCTCCTAGCACCCCTCTCCCCTCAAGTGCATTAAAAGGAAAATTCAGAGCACAAGCGTTCCAGAAATATGCACGAAAAGAAGAGGTTATTTCTGCAGGAAAGTGCTGTTCGCATGGCTAAAGAGGCCGAAATAAAACCTAGCGTCCTCTGTGGCATTAAGAAAGAATAAAGGGCAGGACAGCAGGAGCTGGGAACAGAAAATAGGGCTGTCAGGAAAGGTCACGGAGAGTCCTCATCAGCTCAAAAGGAGATCCGAACCAGAGCCAGCCCTGCTGTTCTCCCCGCTTACAAAAGCCAGTGAGAAGAAGCAGACGGGTTCATAATCCCACCAGCTTGTCAAGGCACTATTGTCCTCTGCAGTGTGACGAGCTCCCTGCAAAGCCAGAAGGGAGCATCGTGTCACTGAAAGGGGCATCCTTTACTTCCACGTCTTTCCACCTGTTGGGAGCCGCCCTCTGTGGCTGAGCAAGCCACCTCCTCCTGCATTTTCAGCCTTCTAAGTTCCAGCAAGATTAGTCTCCAAACTCGACTGTGCTTGTCAGGTATCAAACCATCATTCTACCCCGGCACTTTTCACTTTAGCAAGCCTACCTCTAGGATATGGTCTCCAGGTGCTATCTTGCCGTCTGCAGCAACAACTGAATCCCGAAGAACTTCTTGAATGACGATGTTGCCAAGAGGAGTGTCTTTACCCCCAACTATCCTCATGCCGAGTTCTTCTTCAGGGTCTTCTCGGTGGATTTCAATTGTAATTGTCTCTGCTAGGAGACTTGCTCTTTGGGGCAAATCTGAACGAGAGAAGGATGAGATTGTGGGGCAGGGGAAATGCAGAAGTATGTATGTGAAACCAACCAAAACTCCTCATGCCTTTGAAATCTTGCTCTTCATTCCTTGAGGTCTTTGGTTGTTACGGCAGATAACAGCAGAGAGCGTAAATGCTTCCCTCCCTAATTTATCTGTGGATATTAATGGTCTTATGCTGGCCCATGACTGATATACATACATAAATGGCATACATACCCTTCACTCATTGATACCTGCACTCGTTGTGCACGGAGTTCAAAAGGGCGCTCATTCTGTACTTTTAAAAATTGAAAATCTGCAGCCAGGAAATCCGAATTTTGCATCAGAAAATATGAATTGTTCAATTAGCATAAAATAGGTAAATTAGAAGGAGCTGGCCCTTTTATTTTATGTGTATCTATATTCAGGTTTAATTATTCCTGGGAAAAAGCAAAGTTTGCTAAAGCCCCCATGCCAACCAGTACAAATGTCACCCAGACACCTCTGGGGCTTTTGAGATTCCAGAAGCTTTGCTCACCCGAGTTCAGGCATCAGTCAGAGGCTCACAGGGCAAACACAGCACCAGGTCACAGCTCTATTTTACCAGACCAGTGAATTCTCATCAACAGAGCAGAAGGGAGGGAAATGCACTAAATTCTGGCAAGCTTGCCTATTTTCCAAAATGCATTCCTGATGCAGACTTACTTTCTTTCGTAATTAATTAATTAATTAATTAATTAAAACATTTCTATGCCGCCCCTTGCCGAAGCCTCGGGGCGGCTCACAACATCGAATAAGACTTGCTTTCTCTGGCCACGCAGCTCGCCCTGAGACAGCAGCACCTACCTTCCTCGCTGCCGTCGAAGGCGGGATTAACCAGCCCCGGCTCCGGAGTCTCCAAGGATGCCACGCCAGCCACTGAGTTTCCGGCCACCAGGGAGGGCATTCCTGTTGACACCTCGGGCTCCTTAGGGAGACTTGTTTCCTGCCTCGCAAGAGAATCTGCCTTCATTCTGGAGCGAGGGTTCTTTTTCCTTTCTAGCTGAGCCTTGTATTTCCGGAAGCCAAGGCACCTGCAGAAGTAGGAGCAAAGACCTCTGAAACAGAATGGCTCATTCCCTTTCTTCCAGAGCATTATGCAATATGTAAGTATCTAGCAAGGGGCCACAAGTTCCCTCAGCAATGCAGCTCCCACCTCTGGCTGGTGGTGAGGCTGGAAGACTTGGCCATGACGTCCAATGGGGGGCTTACAGAGGGAGGGTTCCTGGTGCCACCACGAAGAAGGCACTGTGCCACAAAATGAATGAAACTTTTTATAGAGCATTACGGGGCATTTGGGGAAACGAGGGTCACAGCTAACTGGCGAGTGGAGGATCACTGTAAGCCCCCCGCTCCCATTCCTCCTCCCCATTTTTGTGTGCCTGCCAGCAATATTGCTGACACCACAAATGTGGGTTCAAACAGTAACTATCAGGGCAACAAGCAACAAGGAAGCATCTCTGACAGAAGACTGCCCTGGGCGGCTACGATTCTATTCCCATCCAAATTGAACATCCACAAAGTAGCCGTGAACTATTACTTCTCTTTAAAATCAGCTTTCTAGCAATTATTTAATATTTGGCCCAACATCCAAAACTCTCAACTTAAAAGTTTCCATACAACTCCCCCTGCCCCGCCTTCCTGTTTTCCTTGTTGAATTTCAGTTTCGGCTTCAGATTAATATGTAACTACAGAAGCTAGTCATGCCAGAACTTTAAACTTTGTGTTGTGTAAATGAAAAAGTGTTGGCAAAGACTGAAGACTTAAGTGGCTGAAAGAGAAATCCTCCGCAAGCATGGGAACCCTCGGACGGGGCCACGAGGTACCCGGTTTCCCTGACCCCCCTCTCCCCACAAAGGGGGCGTCTCTTCTAGCCAACCGGCGTCCTTGTTAGCCGATTTCCCCCCGCTCCCTCACTAATAAAGTTGCACTGGGTGGGGCAGACACTGGGTACATTTGGGGGTGCAGGCGGGTGTGTGGGGGTACATTATGTATGGCTGGGGTCTGGGCTGTCATGTCAGACGCCACAGGCCGCCCCTGGGTGGCCCCATTCGCTCGGGGACGTGGGCTGCCTAGCGCCAGTTCAGCTCTCGGGCCAAAATTTGTTCAGCTCCCTGCGATGCACACTTGACTAGCGTCAAACATTCCTGAACTCAGTGTGACTTCTGAGCTGACACAAGACTGCGTTGTTAATCCTGCATCCCACTGCTTCTTAGAATCAACGCCGAGTTCAAGCTGTGTCTGAAAGCGGCTCTGTGAAGATGGAAATTCAGTTTTGTTTTTCTTGGGAAGATGCGACACCCACAACAAAAACACTGTGGGCAAAATTCTCAAACAGTGCATTTATAAAGCATTCCCTAATGAATATATGCAGAAGTGCTGCGAGGTGGAGAGATCCAAGCTTCACAGTGGATGTGAAAGCTGGAATTGTTCATGTGCAAATTAGTTGAGCAATGTTCTTATTTTTTAATAGTTTGGGGTAGGGAGGTATGTAAATCAAGACTAGTCCTGGGTACCACTGAGTCAAACCGACTTGCTCAGCACATGGATGCAAGTTACATACACTTTAGTACCAGTGCAGGTACAATGGACGGCAGTCAGACATGGATCAGTGGGGACAAATTATTTTCATTGCATGTACGCTTGCGGAAGAATTAGATTACACTGATTTTAATTGAATCGTATAGCTCATTAGTTGGTGCATAGGAACTAGGTACATGTGCCAGGAAGGACCACTTTGAACCAAAGAAACTTAAAGCCCTCAATTTACACTGCAATTTAAAATCATCAAGAAAGAAACAAGCAAGCTTCAAGCTTCCTATTTTAGCATTTACACGTTTCTTCTTAAAAAATGCATACTCACTTCTTTCTATAACAATTATAACATATTGGTTTGCAACTTTATGCAACTTAGGAACATCGGGCCCCAGAGTTTACTCTGCACATCTGATATCTTTGGTGCTACAGAACTGTGTCTACTGAAAGTTAGACTACAGAGGATGTGTCAGGTTTAAGCAGCCATGCTTAAGCCAGTCTTTTATTCTGGAGGACGAGCAGCTGCATGGCCCTGATCAGTCTCTCCTGCAGTCCTCTTCAGCAGCGGAGAGGGACTTGTCTTTCCAGTGATCATTGCCTAGAGCAGTGGTGGCGAACCTATGGCACGCGAGCCACAGTGGGCACGCCGAGCCCTCTCTGTCGGCACGCGAGCCAAGTCGCCCCAGCATCGCCCCAGCAGCCGAGCATCGGACAAGAGTGCACAAAGGGGCCATGCGCATGCTCAGAAAGGAGTAGTGGCACCAGGCGATGATGTCACGAGCCGCGAATCATTAGCTGCGACTCAGCCGAGCTTTCGCATGGCCGGTCAGTGCGCTGCCAAAGACGGACGGACGGACAGACAGACCTATTTGCTTGGACTGGCTGTAAGTTGTTTTTTCTAAACTAAAACCTGAGTTTTCAGGTTTTATGGCAGTGTTGGCATTTTGAGATAAATAAGTGGGTTTTGGGTTGCAGTTTGGGCACTTGGTCTCTAAAAGGTTCGCCACCACTGGCCATCACTGTTCCCCTCAGCATAACCCATAGCCAGACCATTGGAATATTTTCAGAAGTCTTACAACTCTTACCCTGGAAGTTTTGTCACCAAGGTATGTCCTTGTATAATTTTAAAACGGCCACGTGTTCCATGCTAACTTTACTGCAGTCAGCTTGAGAAAGAGACCTGGGTAAAGCTGGTACTGCTCACTGCCCATGCCATTCACCATGAAACCATTAAAAATAAACTGCTGACCTGAACACTGAAAAGCTGCTGAATTAACCTACACAGTCAGTCCCCAGAAACCACAACTGCACAATATAAAAGTGCTCGCAATGCCTAGTGGGTGGAAAGGTATAACTACAGCTTTGATTTAACAAAGCCTCCACCTCCGTCCAATTAGAGCGGCTGCTCTTCGCATGTACGTGCTTGTGAGAACCCCCTGCGGTTTTGCAACTAAGGCTTCCTCTTTTCATGGTTACAGCAGAGTTTTGCTGAAGCTCTCCAAATCCCGCAAGATAGCGTTCCCAATTAAAACTGCTGAAGGTTTTAATTTTTAGCTGGGAGAAACACACTTTAGCTACAGCATGACGAGCACAACTGCTTAATGAATATGCCCTGTTCAACCTTGGGCCCTGCGCTGGTAAGCTTTGCAAGCGGTCCAGGCTGGTGAATAGAAGCTGCCTTCCAGAGTGCTCATTCTTAACCCAGGTTGAAGTGCAGTCCCCATCCTTAATGGACGCCATCTTCAGAGGGAAAATGAAAAAGCACCATAAGCTACCAACCATCACGAATGTGCCAGCAGGGACAGCATGCAAGTTTAGCTGACGGTGTTACGGAAACGGATGCAAACCTGTTCTGCAGGTGAGCCTCCAGCTCGCAGCGCTGCATGGTCAGCTTGCAGTCGTCGTGAAAGGGGCAATGGACCATGAGCTTATCGAGAAGGTTCCTCACCAGAAGGCTGGACTTCCGGCAGCTCTGGAAAGACAGTTTTTTGCGATCCATTGGACAGAAGTTGTACTCCTGCATGAAGTTTTCGAGGCACTTAAAACAGTACGTGTGTCCGCAAGGTGTGTCCATCGGCTGGAGCAACGGCTGAAGGCAAATGTGGCAAGTCAGGTCGTCATCGACTTCGTCCTGGAAGTTATAGAGGTGATTATCTGGCAGCAAGTGGGACTGCCCACATTCATGGCAGAGCTCCCCGGCTCTGGAGACCGGCTCTGCTCCTGCGGGCTTGGCCATGGCGTCCGACATCTGGTGTGTTTGCATCGGGTAAGAGCAGGCCCTCAGTGGTATCCGAGGCAGACAGCTTCTGAAAGAGAGAAAGAAAAACATGGCAAATGAATCGCTGATTACAGACGTGCCAGCTTGCCAGGAGTGCCGTATCGGCAAACTGATCAAATTCCCATATTTGGGGGGAAAGCGATGATTGTCCTGCGTGTCTGCTTCAAACTAATCACTTTTGTATTTGCCTACGCAACAATGCTATCTTATAGGGACCCATTAAGGTAAAGGGAAAATGGAAGATGATTGGCAGTAATTTGCCAGTTTTGTCTAGAGGACCGTGAAGTTTCCTGTTGGCATATCGGGAGTGCATCAGTGAGAAGGCGCAGGCGGCTTGCCCACAATTACAGATTTTGCCCTGCTGTGTGAGGTACAGGATAGCCCTGGATATGTTCCCTTTGGTTGGCACAATTAAGAGTCCCTGAATTAGGTGCAATGAGCACTCTGTGCAACATGTGCCTTGGACTGGCAAGTCCTTATGGCACTGAGTGAAAGAGACCGAGTCCCGGATCCTAAACTGAGCTGATCCAGGAATTACCTGAACTGAAGTAGGCTCCTCCGAAGCAGACTAAATCTGTACCTGAACTGCCCCATCAGCAGTTCAAAGGGATGACACAAGAACAGGGCCAGTTCACATGAACCCACCAGCCACAAGCAGGAGAGAGTGAAGGCACTGTTTCCAGAATGGCCGCGTTTACCCATGAGGGACTCCTTTGCAGATGGCTAAGCGTGGAGAGTGAACCCAGGATGCTGGGTTATTTAGGGGCTGCACAATCCAACAGTTAACCCAGCAATAAACCATGGGTGAACAGCAGGGCTGTTTAGCCTCCAAATACCCCAGTGGCTTGAGTTTGCATGTCACAATCAACAACCTAGGAAAGAGCTACTCAGGTCCACCGCAGGAACACCAGGTCACATAGTGTGCAGTTTTGCGAGTGACGGTTCTCTCTTTTAACAACAGTGAATAGGGTTAATAGAGCTCGCCAATCTCGGGCTTTTGGGCAGGAATGCTGAAGGAATGGGCTTCCTGGGAAATTCTGAATTGGAAAGCTTTTCGGAGAATTTTCCAATCCATGTTAGGCTAATTCTGGTAGGGTCATCTGCACAGAAAAGATTACGCTGTACTGGAAAAATGCGGTGATACTCCTCAACTCCCCTCACTGATCCCCGTGCTGGCCAGAGCTGAAGAAAACCATCAGAGTGGGAGCTCTCTCAGGTTCGTCTCCTCCAATGGTTTCTTCAGCTGCAGAGGAGGTGGTGGAGTGGCAGAGACGGGAAGAGGAGCTTGCTGTCTCGTGGCTACAAAGTGAAGCTTCTCAGACCAAGCGTGAGAACCAGCCCGCTGTGGAACAGGAAGGAGGAGAGCTGGGGGAGGGGGTGAAGTTGAGAGAGATTTCCTTGACCTTGTAAGGAGACGGCAAGGTTAAGGAGCGCCTGGCCTTTTCTCCGTTTGGCCCTCAAGCAGCAGTTCCACCCTGAGAGTGGAGGAGGACTTTTCTGACAGCAAGGGAAGAAGGGGCTGAGATCCATATTGGATTCCCCTCTTCACATAGGCAGACTCCACTCCCGCATCTCAAAGGGAGTGTTACATCGATTTCTGTTGCTTGTAGCCTGCAGAGCTCAAAGAAAAGACGGCGCTTCTAAGGTCTGCGTCTAAGACTGCTGGAGAGGGAAAAGCAGGGGAGAGACATGCTTCCGACAGCAGGCCCAAACATCTGGTGTGCATCAAGCCCCTTCCCTGGAGACCACTAATTCAGCGTGTTTGTTTAACTTTTATTCAGCAAACAAGGCTAAAAAGTACTTTTTCTCCCAGTATGTAAAAGTACTGGACTTGCAATAGCTGGGCGAAGAAATTAAACAAAGATAAAACCAAACTTAATGAGATGTAAATGTTACTTTATGTCAAACATTTTAATGGAATGGCATGCATTTCACTTACATTATTTGCGTTAGCAAACAAATGTACTGAAACTAATTTTAGCCACCTATAGAACATGCCAATAACTACTGATCTGTTTTGATAAAGTTCAGCTCTCTTCCTCAGAGCTTACTGAGAGACCCTCATTTTTGTGGTCACTAAATATTAGCTCCATGAGGCACGTATGTTTAACCACATACATGTTCTCCCTCACATACTCGCTTAGGACCTGAAAAACATTCGGCACAACCCAGAAACTGCCAAGCTTGCCCAGCCCTGTATTTCCAACTGCCATGCGTCGAATGTTAATCATCAACCTATGAAGCAGAGAATTTTCTGTTGAAAATTAAAGCACTGGAAAGGTTTCTGTTTTGCAAAAAGCTCTGCCCCGTTTCACTGGTGTTCAGGGCCTTTTGTGAGTATTCTCCCATGGGTAGGAACATTAAGAACGGGTCCTTGAGTGTGTGGGATTGGGGGGTGGAGGGGGATGCAGCGCTGGGTGCCAGCTTGGATGGGCACATCCGCTGCCACTAAGCTGTCCCCCCGATACCCATGCCTGTCCTGTTGCGGTTAACTCTGTTTGCTTCCTAATCCAGCCGGCACTGATCTTCAACTCTTTGTCCTAACTCCCAAGCCCCTGCATGAGTCTCCTGAAATACTCTGTTCTGGAACCCCCAGACTGTCAAGACCTCTCCAGCCCCAACATTTAAATCATTCCACCATTTCCAGCTACAATTGGAGCTATTACAGTTATTATAGATTGGATAGATTATTATTTATTGGATAGATTGGACTGGATAGGTGGGTGATAAGAAGTAAAGGGAATTTTAGAAGTTAGATACTATTTCTTGTCTTGGCCTTCTAGGCCCCTTCTATGACTCTATAATTCTATGGTCTCCAGCTCAGTTTCTGGAATAAAAGCCCTGTACCTTCCTTGTAAAATGTGCCCAATTTTCACCTAGTAAAGGAAGTATTATTTATATCTGAGCAATGCACTCAGGTTTAGATCACCAAAGACATTTCTTTGTCAAGTCATATAAAATTACTCCCTGCCGCCATTCAGACTGATATCATTGGGTATATTTATGCTAATTCTGCAATTTGCAATCCAGCTTAAAACTTATTTTCAGCCCGCTGACAGATGTATTGCTTGACACTGAAAAGATGTCTGAGAAAGATGCTTCCAAGTGTGGCGAACAAACGTGCAGGGTTGCTTCAGGGTGACCTGCCATCCCATGTCACTTCCCTAGATGCTTGTCATGCTAACTAGGAAGATGTTCTTTGTGGGACCCACTATGCAAATTCGAACATTACTGGTTTTCCCAGTTGCGAAGGCCTAGGATTCCACTATAAAATATCCAACTCAATCAGATTTATGTCATTTTATTTTAAATTCGTAGCCGATCCATTTTACCATTACCAAATAAAACTTGTAAAATGGGGAGTTTTTCCCACATTTATGAGACAAGTACAGCCTACTTTGCATAAATTCATTTTCCACATTTCTGAAAGCTGACGTTTTGTTCCTTTTAAGTAACACCGGCCTAGTTCACCTATAATGCGGAGCCATGTACAACAGTTTATCTAAATCTAAACGTGTCTTGGTTTTGCTCCCAGCCCTAGGATTACAAAAATATTCAACCTTAGAGGAACTACTCCAAATTCAGTGAAGCAACATTTATGCTGACTTTTACCCCTATTAATCAGGATGCATAGAAGGAGTGAAGGGCTAAACATCGCCCAACATGCAATGGAATTTCGACTTGCATTTCAATTTGCGCTTTCTATCAGCCATCTTAAATGCCTGGCAACAACATGACCGTGGCATATAAATATTTTAAAGAAAATCAGACTTCTGTCAGATAGTGATGTTTTGCCTCAGCCACGCAATTACTGCCTGAGTACCATGCTTACATTCCTGGAGATCAAACCTATTTAGAACTTCACAAGGGATCAAATGGATAAGAAGAAATTGCTGGAGATACCACACTCCTTTCCCTTCGGTCCATAAAAGCGAGCTGCTTCAGACAGCTCCAACCGAGCCATGACCTTCCTGATGAAAGGTAATCCACACCCGTCTGCATGATAGTAAGATGAGCAGCCCTCCTGAGGGCGGCAAGCTAGAACTGGTCTGTTGCTCTGTCATTTCCGGAGACAGGAATCAGACCTTCCATGCAGGCCACAATGGCAGAAGTCTCGTTCCATGAGTTTCAGAATTCGCTCTATCCTGACCCAGTTCCAATTTCAAAATATTCTTTCTTCACAGATGGAACAGCTTCCCTCAGCCCTATTCCAGGCAGTGTCCTAAAGCAACCCAGCGTTCCATGGGAAATTAAGAAGAATCACGCAATGGAAATATCATGAAAGAAAAGGCCGCTGCAAAGGGTGGAGGAACACTCAAGAGTGCATATTCCCTTCCCTCGGTCGGTCGGTCGTGAAGAGGCCAAGAGGGCTGGCCTGCCTTCTCTCTGAATCACCTTCACCTTTGCATTCATCCTAAAGCAGATACACAAAGATTCCTTGGCAACCAGTCAATGAGGGAAATGCTCCTGGAGGAAGAAATTTGGAAAACCAAAAATTCCTTGGCCAGTTTAAGCCTGCAGAATTTAAGTTTAAGAACTTAAGGTTAAGCCTCCGCATGTTTTTAAGTGGGACGAGCCAGGGGCATTAATGCAGGGACTGCCACCAGTGCAGCCGATGTCACAGTTTCATCCTTGCAAAGGGACCCTCGGCAAGCTGCCCTCTCTGGTGGACCCCCTCCAACATCAATGGGCCCTCCATAGTGGTGCATCGCGGCAGGCCCAGTGGACGGTGTCATAGCAAGGGGAAGAGGCCCACGATCAGCAAAGGGCAGCTTGGCCCTGGCATTTCAATCCCACAGCGCCCCAAGGGCACTCTTCCTCCAGGACGTTGTGAGGCCATTAAGCTATACCCCCCTCCCAGCCCCGTCAGATGCCACTGATCAGAATTCCAGAAGAAAAGAAAAGAAAAGAAAAGAAAAGAAAAGAAAAGAAAAGAAAAGGACAGAAGGCATGTATCAGCAGCGCTAAGCACCCCCTTCCCTGAGAGCTGTCTAATTGTGCAGATGTGGACCTGACAACTTTTATCCT